GAAAATCGTCTCCACATTACCGATCCCACAGTTTCTTATCGACTCCGTATCAGAGGTATCTGCAATACCCATTCAGTAGTTACACACAATACCAAACAAAGCGACTTACTCCGATATGAAGCAAATCATACGTTCATCCACACTTATGGTCTACATAGGGCACAGCTGAATTTGGTGCTTCTTCGCTGTCTCACATGGCCATTCATAGTTGCAGACGTTGGAACAGCTCTCATTGGTGCAGATTTGCTGGCCAAATATCAACTGCTCAATTATCTCAAAAACAAATGTCTCATCGACTCAATCACTGACCTTACAGCACCCGCATAACTTTCTACTATGAATCACACTTCTGTTTCAGCAGCACAAGATGATATATCGGCGGAAGAAAATCGCCGAGTCGCCATGGGGTACGACACTTTATTGAAGCCAACTAAGCTCAGTCTCGGATCGTCGATTGGGTGCGAAAAGCAAGCAATAAGTTCAATTTCTCAGCTACGTTATCAACGAACACGAAATGAAACGGCCCACTTCCTGAATTGACGCCATCTTCAAGCATGCTCGTCCTCATGCCATCAGCCAACTGGGTCGGTTTCTTGGCATCATCAAGTAGTACCTTAGAAGCCGGCCACATTCGTCGCACACTCAGGCGCCCTTGGATAAGTTGCTAAGAAATGAAAAAAAATAACGACCAACGAAAGATTAAATCGACAACGCAACTCGTGGCTGCTTTCGATACCAACGCAGTGTGGCTGACGCAGCGATCCTGTCAAATCCATTTCCAAATGCAAAACTTCCGCTATCGTGTGATGCGTCTGATGTTGCTAACGGAGCCACACTAGAGAAACAAGTGAATGACAGCCACTTGGTTTGGCAGCCACTTGGCTTTTTCTCTAATAAACTAAGCAACGCAGAAAAAAAACTACAGTACATACGATCGAGAACTACTGTCAGTATTTGAATCATCAAATATTTTAAACATTGGCTCGAAGTAAGAATGTTTATCATCAAAACTGACGACAAGCCTCTGACATATGCTTCTAAGCAACGACTTGATAAAACCTCGCCTCGTCAACTTTGCTAGTTAAGTTTTATTTCGCAACAATTCAACGCCAGCGTCCGTAAAAGTAGAACAGATAGAGGAAGCGCCAGCCGATGGCCCACAACTAGACTTATAGCAAGGAAAGTCGTCACTTAAACTCCAAAAAGTAATCTTTTATGGCATTATTAATCAATTCTGCCATGTTTCCCCGGGATACGGGCGTCAATATGAACCGCAAGCTCTACGATAGCAAGTGCTATCTTCCCGGACTCGCTATTGTTCGTACATAATCTTTCACACCCGAGTGTCAGGGAACCTCTGCAGAAAATTCGGCAGAAGTTTGTCTTGCAATGCCAATGCGTGAAAATCAACGAACATAATCATCTTGTACCCAGCAAAAATCATTGTGCCCAACGGCAGATTTGATCATGTCATCGTGGTCATGCCGCCGCATTAAAACTTTCGATATTGTCCCACCATGATCGATCGTTCTTTACGCTGGCCAGAAGCAGTTGAAACTGCTGAAACGATTGCCCGAGCTTTTTGGTCACAATATATCTCGCGATTTGGGCACCTAAAATCGTAAACACGGATCAAGGCACTCAATTCGAATCATCTTTGTTCAAGGAATTAGTTAATGTAGTCGATAGCGAACGCATAAATACCACTAGCTATCATCCACAATAAAACGAACTTCTAGAGAGGTGGCATTGATCTTTGAAAGCAGCCCTGATGTGCCACTCGGACACTCCATGGACTCAACTTCTGCCAGTCGTGCTTCTAGGACTCCGCACGTGCTACAAGCAAGACACAAGGTCGTTCAACGTCAGAGCGATAGAGTTTACGAGATCAACGGCAAGAAAGTTGCAGTTTCGATAGATCGACTTAAAACTGCATTTATTGCCAACGAGGGCATCCAACGGGAGACGCAGCGCAGCGCTCCACGGACCTACGAAAAGCAGTTCCGTGTACATTAGAGAGGGCGGCACTGTAATATTGTTGTTGCTGGCGTAACTTAATGTTAATTGATATCAAAGGAGTTTAGCAGATTGGTATCCCTGGCCTTTCTCATTCTCATCCCTTCTTTCTGGTGAAATAGATGATCCAGCTAGCGACAGCTCAAGCTTCGTAGATGTATAAATATGGAATTATAAAGAAAAACATAGAATATTAATAAACTCTTTTGGTGTAAATGCAGTGGTTTTTAGTATGTTAATTAATTTGAAATGTCCTAGCACGCTTTTTGTAATCTTCTTGTTTGGGCTACAGCTAACCCGCAAGAGCAATCGCAACGGCCGAAGAGCGTATATTATCAGAACGTGCATGAAATGAGCGAGTAACGAAAAATGCATCTGTGCTTAGATCAGCCGCATTGAGTGATGTCTTATCACTCAATGGATCGCGCGCTATCACGGTTGAGTGGAATTTAGTGGCTCTCTGAAGTGCTTTAAGTCCTGTTACTTTAAGTTATCTTACTTTCTTGTATTTTGTAATTCTATTGAGCTTTGAATTTGCTAGCCTAGTAACAGCGGTATTTGCAACACATGTCGAAGTCTGTGAGCGTCAGTCCAAGTCACTGGACGTATGCTCTGTGTAGGTCAATTTAATTAATATAAAAGTTAGGTTAAATTCAATAAAAGTTGAAGCCTTTTAAAATGAAAACCCCGCTCGTGAACTGGGACTCTTTTTCTAAATCTTAACATTCGCAACAATCGTGCAAAAACCTCAAAGCCGCCTCGGTTGGTAACCACGCCGCAGGCCGCATCATATCTACGGGCAGTTTGGGGCTCCGCACATGGCGCAGCCGATATCCAACATATTTTGGTGCCTCCTGTGAGGAATGATTCTTGGCGATTGGACTGAGGAGTTTGGGATTGGACATTGGATTGTGATTGCTGAAGCAGTGCGACTTAATTGAAAGGGTGAGTGCAATTTGACACTAACGTGTTAGGTTAGGTGATCAGAATGGCCGAAAACCTCATGTATTTAACTTTTGAGCAAACTGCACTGTTGGCCTCGTTGGAGAAATCACTGAAAAAATACAAGGCTCGAATCGCTGGTAGAAATTAACGCAGAATTTAAACGCAACCATCTGCAGCTTGTACGAGTGCGAGACAACGAGGAACAAGGTATTTTGACCCGGCAACCAGGGATGTGTTTGAGGAGACCTACATCGTGGGAGTAGCAGAATTACGCATGAGCACAAGGAGCAAAGACATCGAGCATCTACCGCATTCAATGAGACGTGTTTGCATCAGACTATGAATGAACAGTGTATAACCCCTATGGAGGAAGTGAAGCTGCCCACGGTTAGGCTGCCAACTTTCAGTGGTAAATTCATAGATTGGCCGGCATTCAAGGAAGTGTTCCTATCGCGTGTCCATCACTGTCAGAGACTTACTGACTTACATCGCTCCAATATTTAAAGGATTCGCTATTAGAGGAAGCTGCTAAAGATATAGAGCACTTGACTTTGATAGAATCGAATTATCCAGTGGCATGGAGAATGCTGCTGAGTTTATATGACAATAAACGAGTATTGTTGTTACATTACATGGATGTTTTTGATCATCAATTAGCAGTTCAACATGGAGACGCCGAGTGTCTAAGGCGGTTTGTGCAGACCTGTCGCTCATGTGTGAATTCGTTGGAGGAAGCTGGAGTTTATATAACACAGCAATCTCAAGTTTTGGTATATTAAGATGAGAAAGGTACCTCAGCACTTAAGGCAGATTGGGAACTGTCATTAGCGTCGTCGCCAAATCTACCGACATTTTAAGAGCTTTGTGTTTACCTCGAGTCCCAATATCGAACGATGATTACGGCATCGTCAGGAAGTTGAGAGGAAGTGCAGCCAATGGATAGCCGGAATAAAAAGCAAGGCGTATATGGCTTACGTGCAAGCCAAAGAGACGCAAAAGCTTTATTTATTACTCGACAACCGGACATGTGCATCGTCTGCGGCAAGGTGAAGCACCCCATTGGAACTTGTAATGTATTCAAGGAAATTAGTGCGTCGGATCGTAAGGCAATTGACTTGAAACATCAAGCAGCTGCATGTGGCAGCTCGCGAAATTGTGTAAGGTGCGCCATACTCTAATCCACCTGGATAGAACGCGTGGTCAAATGGATGCGCCTAGAAACGGCACCCCAAGGAAAATGGATACAACTGCACAGCAAGTATCTACAAATTTAATCATGGGGAAGGATGAAGTTCTACATTTTACAAGACAGGAGGTCTTGTTACCAACTGCAATGGTGCTTATCGAGTCCAAAGATGGCTACCCCTTGAAGTTTCGAGCTTTCTTGGATCAGGGTTCCCAAGCATCGTTCATTTCAGAGACTGCAGCCCAACAACTACGACTGACAAGGAAACGCGCATATATAAAAATCAACGGTTTAGCGAATGAAAGAATCACCGAAGCGTCTACAGGAATTAAGCTAAAATTTGGATCCCTATTTGATCCACAGGTAAAGCATAAGATATTTGCGTATGTCCTACCCAAGGTGAGTCAAAGAATGCTTGACAGGAGAATATCTACCACGAAGTGGCCACATCTAAAGGATTTCCGTTTAGCCGATCCTAATTATTTTATTCCACAAGGTGTCGAAATTTTGCTCGGGAGCGATATTTATGATGAGCTGATGTTAGGTGAAGCATACCGAGGACCAACAGGTTCACCTCTTGCACAAAATACGCATTTGGGCTATATCGTGACTGGAAACATCAACGAACGTGCGTCGTTGGTGTCATCGCATACGGTGAAGGTACACACTCATGATACAAATGAGGAGCTGGACAATGTTTTACGCAAGTTTTGGGAACTAGAGCAATTTGACAATGAGTCTCCAGGTCTCTCACCGGAGGAGAGGTGGTGCGAGGACTTCTTTGTCAATACTCATCGTCGCTTATCTTCGGGAAAATATCTTGTACGTCTACCCTTTTCGTCCCATCTGGACCAAACTATGGTGATTGGTTCGTCATATCGAAGCGTACTGAAGCGGTTAGATTATCTAGACAGGCGTCTGCGAGCAGACCCCAAGTTAAAAGAAGCATATTGTCACACTATTAATGAGTATCTGGAGCTGGGCCAAATGGAGGGGGTTACACCTAAGGTTTATAACATCATGCAATCATCATCTGAAGGAGGAGTTCAACATTGTTATCTACCGCATCACCCAGTTATAAAGGAAACATCATCAACTACGAAGGTCCGAGTTGTGTTCTACGGCTCGAGCAAGGCAAGCAATAGGAAGTCATTGAATGGCATTTTAGCAATTGGGCCAAAATTACACTTGCAGCTACCTGGAGTTATTCTCAATTGGCGTGGTCTAAGATTCGTGTTTATGGCAGATGTAGAGAAAATGTACAGGTGCATCAATATTCCAAGGGACGATGCCCAGTATCAGCGCATATTATGGAAACCCAGTAAGAACGATTACATCGAGGAGTATGCATGCTTAACAGTTGTGTTCAGCACCATATTTAGCTCTGCGAGTCATGTAACAGTTAGCTGCAGACGAAAAGGAGACATTTCCATTAGCAGTGGATGTGGTGAAACCTCAGATGTATGTTAATGACATATTTTCTGGAGCGGATAGTGTCGCAGAGGCGGAAGCTATCCAGACTCAAGTCATTGGTATGTTACGCAGTTGAGAAAGTAGGCAAGTAATTGCCCAAAATTGTTAGAAAAGATACCAATCGAGTTTCGAGAAACGAAAGGATTGTTGCACTTTGATGGCGAGGACACAATTCTTACGCTGGGTATACACTGGAGCCTCATGGAGGTTGACCTCCAATTCTGTCAACAGTTGCGAGGTTATTTAATCCTATGGGATGGCTGAGTCCGATTATTGTAACCGTGAAAAAAATAATGCAGCGTCCCATAGACGCTTCCATATCCTTCCATAAGGATAAGATTGGTTGGGATGATATAGTGCCAGCAGCCGTTAGAAGAGAATGGGAGAAGTTTTTAACGGAGTTGCCCAATATTTCAGACATACGCATACCACGATATATAACATGGGGATTATATAACGCAGCAGCAGAACTACACATCTTTTGTGATGCATCAGCGCAAGCCTATGGAGCGGTTGCATATTTACGTGTTCCAACCGGGGATCACGCATTTCATACGGAGTTGCTGCTGTCAAAATGTAAGGTCTCGCCTGTTAAGCCATAATTAACCATACCCAGAGCTGAGTTGTGTGCTGCTCTTGAAGCTGCAAAAATTTATAAGTATTTAAAACAGAATTTGCGAATTAATATAAACTTCTGCAGTACTATTTTTGGTCCGACTCAATGATAACGATCAGTTGGATCCGTGGAGGAGGTGCAAACTGGAAAGTATTTGTTTCAAATCGCATAAACAAAATTCTGGAGATCTCGAATGGAAGACAATGGAGACATGTTCCCTCGAATGATAACCCTGCCGACCATCTGAGTCGGGGAATTAGCGTATCTAAGTTGACGTCATGTGAACTGTGGTGGCATGGACCGCAGTGGTTACAGGGGCCGGAAGAAGGATGGCCTTGCAATAACATTGATCAACAGTCTCTTTCACATGTGAGTATTGAGACAAGAAGCTTGACTTGCCACAAGATATCATTGGAAGAGATGCCTAGCTCGATGTTCGTAGGTCAATATTCATCGTATACACGACTTCTTCGAGTAATAATAGAGTCTGAGCGTAAGCGAACTGAGGTATCAACAGATTAATTAGAGGAAAGCCTCAGAGAAGTAAAAAGATTGGTGCAGAAGGACTACTTTGAAAAGGAATGGAAAGCACTCTCTTCTAGCAAGCCGGTCACAAGAGATAGCAGATTATTACCCCTCAACCCCTATTTTTAATTGGAAGAGCGCGTCTTACGGCTCGGAAGAAGATTGCGGGATACCTTGTACCTCCATATATATTAACCTATAAATATTATTTCACGAGTCTTGTCGTAAATTATAGTCACGCTTGTACTTTGCATGGAGGCTCCTCGCTCAGCACGAAATTCTGGATCATCAATGGGCGCAACGCAGTTCGTTTTGGTATACATAAATGTGTTACATGTTTCAAAATGAAGCCTCAGTTTTCATGTCAACAAATGGGAAATTTGCCAGCGGTGCGTGGGCGGCCCTCAAGAGCTTTCTCATCTGTCGGAGTTGACTATGCTGGACCTATTAACATTTCGCCATCAAAGGGAAGAGGACGCGTAGCACTAAAGGGATACGTTGCCGTGTTTATATGTTTGGTGACCAAGGCCATACATTTAGAGCCAGTTGGAGATTTAACGTCAGATGCGTTTTTAGGAGCCTTACATCGATTCATAGGCAGACGTGGTCTATGTACAGATATTTATAGTGACTGTGGTACAAACTTTGTTGGAGCTAACAAAAAACTACAAGCTGACAGGGAGGCATACTATTCGTACATTTCAAGATTGATCGCGCCAAAATTACTGAATAAGGGAATCACTTGGCAATTCAACCCTCCATCAGCTTCACACTTCGGTGGATTATGGAAAGCCGGAGTTAAGTCCATGAAGTATCATATCAAGAGAACCATTGGAGATCGAGTGTTAACCTTTGAGGAAATTGCGACCGTGTTAGCACAAATTGAGTCTTGTCTTAATTCAAGGTCCTCTATGTCCTATTTCGAATGATCCTGAGGATTTGATGGTGTTAACCCCCGGTCACTTTCTCACTGGTGATGCGGTCTTGTCGCCTCCTACACCTGAAGTACCTCAATTGAGCTTAATGCATCGGTGGAGAAACTGTCAATACTATTCACAACAATTCTGGAAAAGGTGGGGTTCTGAATATTTGACACGGTTGCAGAGAAGACCAAAATGGTTGCAGTTGAAGAGAAACCTAGATATTGGATGCATGGTGTTAATCAAGGATGAACGATTTCCTTCGCATCGATGGCCTTTGGGTCGAATTACAAGCACTCATGCTGGTGCAGATGGATTAGTTAGAGTTGTGACTCTAAAAACAAGCAGTGGTGTTATCAAACGGCCAGTAACAAAGCTCTGCCCATTGCCCATACAAGAGAATTGGCTTGATTAATGACACCTAACCTTTACATAAATGTTAAATTGCACTCTTCTATTTTCAGTTTAAGTTAAGGTACCATGCCCAAGATTCTGAACGTTAGTGGACGTGAATTTGATGATGGATACTGCAATCATCAAAGGGGGGAGAATGTTTGGGCTACAGCTAAACGCAAGAGCAATCGCAACGGCCGAAGAGCGTATATTATAAGAAAGCGCATGAAAAGAGCGAGTAACGAAATATGCATCTGTGCTTAGATCAGCCGCATTGAGTGATGTCTTATCACTCAATGGATCGCGCGCTATCACGGTTGAGTGGAATTTAGTGGGTCGCTCAAGAGCTTTAAGTCCTGTTACTTTAAGTTATCTTACTTTCTTGTATTTTGTAATTCTATTGAGCTTTGAATTTGCTAGCCTAGTAACAGCGGAATTTGCGACACATGTCGAAGTCTGTGAGCGTCAGTCCAAGTCACCGGACGTATGCTCTGTGTAGGTCAATTTACTTAATATAAAAGTTAGGTCAAAATTCAATAAAAGTTGACGTCTTTTAAAATGAATAACCCCGCTCGTGAACTGGGACTCTTGTTCTAAATCTCAACATTCGCAACAATCGTGCAAAAACCTCAAAGCCGCCTCGGTTGGTAACCACGCCGCAGGCCGCATCATATCTACGGGCAGTTTGGGGCTCCGCACATGGCGCAGCCGATATCCAACACTTCTCGTTACTAAAGACAGTTTTATTATCTGCAAAAAAAATTGTATGACAAGTGCGAAGACTTTCAATCAGACACTTTTTGGTGTTCGAAGTGAGCGGACGTGCTCGCGGAATAAAATTGAAAATCAAAATTCAAGTGCACGCCCAAACGGCCAAACGGCCAAACGCTAGTTTGGCTTTTGCAATCCCGCACAAAGATTGCAACGCATCAAATATTAGAAAACACATAAACGGCAAAAATGAAAACAAAACTACTTTGCTGACAAAGCAATTTGTTTAAAGTGAAACGAAATAAAATCAAAACGAAAAATAAGGTTGTCAAAAAAGTGAGCAACTCGTTAGCGGTCCGTGCTGACATGCACCCAGCCAGTGGCAATGCCATACCAGTAAGTGCTGAGAACAGCAACGCACTCACAATGAGTAACATGGGGTCGTCTCGAACTAACGAGGTAGGCCAACTAAATGCTGACGCCCCTACGTCGCTGATCACCTCAATGCTTAACAGCCGCGTAACAACAGCTGCCAATAGATTCTCCGCGCTGATGTCTGCAAGAAGTACTTCAGTTTCACTTTCCTACCCTTTAATGGACTCCGAAGACCCCGGCAGCAGCCCATACGCTGGTGCTTGTGTGAGTAGAGACCCATGTGAAGCCCTAGTGCGTATAATAGATATCGTCAAACCCAATTCAACCGCCGCAGCCGCGGCTCTACTGATTCAATCACAGGCGAGAAAAAAAATGATCAGCGTAGAGTCTTAGACAGCAGGTCCCCACCTGCCGCGCGGCGAAAACAGAAAAAGACTGACAAAGACCAGTCTAGTTGGCATACATGCTCCCAATAGATATGCACTCTTGGCACCACCCGATAACAACGAAGACATGGATACTGACCGATCTGAGGCCGAGCTGATAAATTCAGTTCCATGCCAGCACCAGCTCCTCCGTGCACGAAAAAAGGGCCAATCACAATGCCCCCACTAGAAGAAAGAAGCCACATCGTCCTAAATGGCATCGAAGACATCAACGACGTGTGGCTCATACTATCCGAAGTAGTGGACCTGGATAGCCTGACCATCAAATCCAACCTAGGACCTAGGACTATGCGACTCCTAGCCAATGATGTGCCCATATATAGGGGTACATATAGTTTCATACAGAAACTGGAACTGAACTGAATTAAAAAAAATTTAATAGGAGAGATACTAGGTCAACAGTTACCCGTACTTTCACAAAACCTGACCCCAAGCCGATAAATTTCGCGTACACCAAAAAGCAAACCATAAACCCAAGCTTTCAAGGAAACTTTGCAGATCTGAATAGTGTACCAGATATCGTGAAATGTATTAAAGAATTTTCTGGCGATCCAGTAGGATTTAATTCAAGGAGCAAGGAAAAGGAAAGAATTCTACAAATATACTCCAACGACGTTGAAAAAGGCACTCCCAAATATTTTGCAATATTACACACAATTTGTGTCAAAATTACAGGATATGCAGATGAGGTGCTCGATTCGTACATTGTTCATTTGAATTGGGATGCCATATCAAGGTGCCTCACTCTCCACTTCGCGAACAAACGCGATATCAGCAAATTAGAATACCAATTGACTACATTAGGGCAGGGTAGTCATTAATCGGTGGAAGACTTCTACTAAGTCGTCTACAAATACTTGTCATTAATACTAAACAAGATCGGTTCCATGAATTTGGGTATGGAGGCAGAGGTAATTAGGACAAAATCATACAGGGACAAAGCGTTAGACACATTCATTCGAGGTTTACGGGGAGACCTATCCCGTTTGCTTGGAAACTACACTACACTTG